TGTTTAGTGAAACAAAGCAAACACCAGTGATAACAAGCCTTATTGCGTGGTTCCATTTATACAGTGCCCCTGAATAGGCAGGCAGTCCACAGAAAAAGGAGCTTTGGGGTTGCCAGGGATGAGAGGAGGGGAATGAGGATTAAGTGCTTATTTTACATAAGAGGATATGTCAGGAATGTTCTGGAATTAGATTGTGGTGATGGTTGTACAGTATAGCTGGCCTTTCTAGTTTGTGGGTTCTTTTTGCCACCATTTATTTACCCCCCCCCCCCCTTCCATCCCCTATCACCAGATAGGAGACAAAGGATGGGGGGGAGAGAGATCGATCCTTGAATTTCTTCTTGCTTCTTTGAGCACAACTTTTAACACACTACAACTAACCTCCCTAATTCTACCAACAATCACCAACCCCGCTTCTTGGGGTCCTAGCATTTATATACCCTCTGAAAATTTCCCAGAATTCCAAACCTCACACAATCACAGAAACGATCTGCAGCTGGCATACCACATCTCTGCCAGCGCTAATCATAATTAGATGCTTTGGACATTCCAAAGCAGCCCTACATACACACCATACCTGGGACTAAAAAAAACCACATTCTTATGATAATTCTGTGTTTTTCTAAAGAAACCAAAATTCCAGAATTGCATTAGCGTATATCTCTGTAAATATACTGAAAAACCCCTAATTGTGTACTTCAAGATGGAGAATTTTGGACTTGGAGAGTGTCACACTTAGTATATATGAGGCTCCAGGTTTAATCCTTTGAGCCACAAACACCAAACAAACAAACAAGCAAACACCCAAGCAATAAGTAAAAATGAAAAAAGAGGAAAGGGACTGGAGAGGTAGCGCAGCCTGTGTGAGCACTCACTTGCTGCTCTTGCAGAGGACCTGAGTTTGGCTCCTGGCACCCACATTGGGCAGCTTACAACTAACTCTGGCACCCTTTCTGACTTTTGAGAGAACCTGCACATATGTCACGAAATAGACAACCAAGTACATAAATAAAGAGAAAGAAGATACCCCTAAATAAGTGGTTCTCATCATATAGGTTGTGACCACATTGGGGGTCAAATAACCTATTCATAGGAATCACCTAAGACCATTGGAAAACAGAGATATTTACATTACAATTCATAACAACAAATTTAGAGTTAGGAGGTAGCAAAAATAATTGTATGGTTGGGTGCCTCCACAATATGAAGAACTGTATTAAGGTGTCACAATATTGAGGAACCACTGCCCAAAATAGTGGATTTTATGATATGTATATTGTGTTTTAATAAGAAATGATATATGTAGAGAGAGGAGATGTAGGAGCGGTGGAGAGCCACGCAGGTGTGAGGAGAGCCACGCAGGTGTGAGGAGAGCCACGCAGGTGTGAAGAGCAGTCGTGTAGAGAGCAGCCGCGGGTCACTACTTTTATTTAGGTTAGCTAATTGGGAAACAGCTCTCTTCATATGGACATACTGTTATTGAGCTTTACCAAACATATAAAGCCTTTGATTAATCTTTAAAAAATGATATAAAAATAGATAATTAGGAGTCTACACACTCCTATGTTCAGATGAGAGAGGATGCTATCTTTGATCCAGGTAGAGGTAATAAGAATTGGTTGGATTGCCAAATGTATTTTTTTCTTTTTTGATTTTTTTTTTTTTTCAAGACCAGAGTCTCACTATGTAGCTTTGGCTGTCCTGGATTTCTCTGTGGGCTGCCTGTTTCTGCCTCCCAGAGTGATGGAATTAAAGGCATGAGCCACTATACCTGGCTAGCAAATGTTTTTGTTTTTTTTTTAAGATTTATTTATTTATTATACAGTGTTCTGCCTGCATGTGTACATGCCTGCAGGTCAGAAGAGGGCATCAGATCTCATTATAGGTAGTCATGAGCTACCATGTGGTTGCTGGGAATTGAACTCAGGACCTCTGGAAGTGCTGTTAACCTCTGAGCTGTCTCTCCAGTCCAACAAATGTATTTTGAACTTAGAACTAGTAGGTTTTGTAAAGTGCCTGAGAGATGTAAGGGAAAAAAGGAGTCGGAAGCTGCTGTTGAGGTCCCAGCTTCCGGTCCCAGCACTCTGCTTGTGAAGCTAACACAGGTGCTAAGTGACAGCCAGCTTCGCCTCCAGAGTGAGGCCTTGTCTCAAAAACAGTAACAAGAGAATGACACTTGGGGTTGGTTTCAGCAGCTGGACCTTGTCTGTAGGTGAGATTTTATACATGCCTGGCTTGCATGTTTATTGACTACAGTATCTCTGAACAAGCACTAAAGAAAGATTTATTCAGCTTCTCGTTTCAGAGGTTTCTATCTTGGCTCTTTTGCTTCTGGGCATTTGTGTGGTGAGGCAGAACATCATGGTAGGAGCCTGTAGGGAGCAAAGCAATTTCCTGCCTGGAGTGTAGGAGTCAGACAGGGAGACAGAAGAACCAGGGGCAGGATCGACTCTTCATGTCGTACCTCCAGTGGCAGTGAGCTACCTCTGCTAAGTTGGTTAGGTCAGAGCCTTCAGGATCTGATCCCATCTCAGTGGTTGGGTCTACCAGCTGAGGATCAAGCTGAGCAGGAGTTTGATGTCAGGCCAGGAAGAGTTGCTGGTTCAGATACTAATTTGTTAGCATGTTGCTTGGCTTTTAAAACCATTAAGGCTGAATGAAACCACCAAAGAGTAGATGAGGCACAAACAAAAAGAGGGTTTTTTTTGTTTGTTTGTTTTTCGAGACAGAATTTCTCTGTATAGCCCTGGCTGTCCTGGAACTCACTCTGTAGACCAGGCTGGACTCGAACTCCAAAATCCGCCTGCCTCTGCCTCCCAAGTGCTGGGATTAAAGGCGTGAGCCACCACTGCTCGGCTAAAAAGAGGTCTTAAGACTAAATAAAACCTAGAACACTGTTGTTTCAAGGCGAGATGACACCCTGAGAGTGGCAGTGTCCTTAGGAGACTATGGTCTCCACTGTGAAAAGGTAAGGACTGAGGAAAGACCTTGTTTAGATTTTCTTGACCTTCATCACTTTCATCACCATGCCTTCATCACTTCCTGTCCGTCTCCAGTTTGGGAGAGTCCCATGAGCACAGTCCCAAGGTGCCTCTTAGCCCTGTGCTTGGTAGACACTAAGTTGATTGTGTCATTTCTTTCCTTTGTTTTGTTAATACTGGAATTGTATTGATTTACTTCTCAAATATTAGAAAGACTTCATATTCTTTTTTTTTTGTTTTTAATCCCAAGTGCTGGGATTAAAGGCGTGCGCCACCAACGCCCGGCCAAGACTTCATATTAATAAATCGATGCATTGGATTCTTTTTATGGCACTTAAGTGGTTAAAGCTTAGATATGAAGTGTCCAGAGGAGTGTTAAAGGCTTGGTCTTTAGCTGGTGGACATGGACTTTGAGAGGCGATTGTATCACAATGGCTTTGCTGTAATCGATGGATTAATTCACTGATCACTTTATAATTTTGGATTAATTAAAAAGGTTGGAACTAGGAAGCGGGACCTGGTTGCTCCGGTGTAGGCTCCGGTGTAGGCAGGCAGTACTCTGTCCAGGCATCCCCCGTGCTTCTCCTCAGCTCCTCCTTCCTAGATGCCAGTGGGCAACAGCCTCTTCTGTCATGGTTGCCGCTGTGGGATGTGCAACAGTGTGACCAGACTAAGACTGGAACCATGACCAGATAATTACTCTTCAATAGTGTATTGCAAAGATTTTGCCGCAGTGATGAAAAGTGTAGCAGAGCTGCGGTGGAACACATCTTAGCCTTAACCCCACCCCTTGGGGGGCACAGGCAGGTGGATCTCTTGAGTTTGAGGCTAGCCTGGTCTACAGAGGTTACACAGAGAAACCCTGTCTTGAAAAACCAGAAATAAAAAAAAAAAAGAAAAGTATAGCACATAGCATGTGTTATTGTTTTAATATGTTCTCTCATTTTTTTTTCTTTTTTTCCTCTTCTTTTTTTTTTTCCCGAGACAGGGTTTCTCTGTATAGCCCTGGCTGTCCTGGAACTCACTCTGTAGACCAGACTGGCCTTGAACTCAGAAATCCGCCTGCCTCTGCCTCTGCCTCCCAAGTGCTGGGATTAAAGGCATGCGCCACCACCGCCTGGCCTAATATGTTCTCATTAGTGAGATTTTTCTATAATTTACAAATGTAAGAATTTAGTGTCTTTTCAGGTTTCATGCCTTGGCTGGCTATCCAGTGACCCCAGGATTCTCCTGTCTCCTTCCCTGCTCTGGGGTTATGGGCAACTGTACTCTGCCTAGCTCTTTATGGGTTCTCAGGCCCAAAGGCAGGTCTTCATACTAATACCGCCTGCATTTACAGACTGATGTGTCTTCCCAGCCCCAAGACTTGGTCTTTTTGACTTAGGGCTCAGTTATTGCTCAGGTTCCAAGTGTTTGAAGATTTCCTCTTGTCTTTCTGTTACTGATTTCTAGTTGTCTCTCTGTGGTTGCAGAGCATACTTTGTATGCATACAGTTCTTTGAAGCTTCTTAAGATTTGGTATGTCATGTGGGTTATGGTTTATCATGGCAAGCTTCTGCGTGCATCCGAAAGAGTGTCTTCTGCCTCTGTGGAGTGGAATGTTCCATAAATGTTGACTAGATCCTTAGCTGTTGGTGTTGAGGTCTGTTGTTCTCCAAGTTGCTGATAGTATAGTATAGTATAGTATAGTATATAGTATATAGTATATAGTATATAGTATATAGTATAGTATAGTATAGTATATAGTATAGTATATAGTATAGTATAGTATACTATAGTATAGTATATAGTATAGTATAGTATAGTGATTTTGACTATAGTGAAATTTGTTTACTTTTTCTTTTTTTTCCTGTTTATAGTTATGTTTTTGATGCATAGACATTTAGTGTTTTTTTGTTTTTTCCTGGTGGGTTGGCCTTTTCCCTCTCCTGATAATCTTTGCTCTAAATTCTACTTGTATCTGATATAATGTATAAAAAATAATTTTCTATAATTTTAATTAATTTAAATTTAGGCACATGTGACTGGTGACTGTCATTACTGGAAGGTGGAGGGAGCTATGACACAAATTTAATTAAAAGGTAAATTTTATAGTATGTTAAGAGACGTTAAGGACAATCAGTGATTAGCTTGAAAGTGGAGATTGGGGCAGAAGGATATCTGACTTTGAATTGGGTAGTCAGGAAAGCAATTCTTGAATGTGACACTTGAAAAGAGGACAAATCTTAGAGTGGGAATTATCCCTGCTAATGTCTTGTGGGAAGAAGCTGTCAAGGGCTGGCAGAGGGGTAGCCAGTGTGTGGACCTTAGCTTTTACTCTGATGATCAGCAAAACTCCTTGAAAGCTTAGAGCGGACCCTGATCCGGTCAGACCTGAGTTTTGTAAAGATTACTGTGGTTGGTCTGTTGAAAATAGACTATAGGGACTCTGGTGCAGGGGAAACAAGTTAGCGGATAGGAATGTAGGTACATGATTCTTGGTTATCAGGCCAAGTAGTTAAATATACAGACGTTTTCAGAGATTTTAAAGAAATTATTAATTTTAGAGATGTTAAATTAGAGATCTTTATTAGACATATCCAATAGGGAAAGCGAGCAGACTGTGACCGTCTCCAGATCCATGAGTCTCTGCCCTTGTGGAGCTTAGATCCTACTGCATATGGGTAGTAGACACATAGCTAAATCAACACAGTAAGTGAATAGCATACTAGAAGGTAACACTCATGAAGAAAATCCAAGCGGGACACGAGGTGTGTTTTTGAGGAGCGTGAGGATCCAGTTCAGTTAGTAGAGTGCTTGCCAAGCATACATGAAGTCTGGGTTGGATCCCAGCATCACATAAAGCTGGAAGTGGAAGCAGGAGGATCAGAAGTTCAATGTCATTCTTAGATACCTAGGGAGTTAAAGGTCAGTCGGGCTACATGAGACCCAGTCTAAGGAAAGAAAAAGGTTTTGCTGTACTAGATTTAACAGTGTCGTCATATTTGAGTAATAACGAGGTGGTGAAAAAAAATCCATCTTACAGATTCCAGGTAGAAAAATAGGTAGAGGGAGCCAAAGTGTAAAAGGTCCCTGGTGGGAGCATGGCAGAAACATTCAAGGAGGAGCAGAAGAGCCAGGAGCCTAGATGTGCTTCAGGAGGCAAGAGAAGGGCATGCTTAGGGGAAGACAAGATGACAGTGGTCGGGATGACAGCTGTTTTAAAGGCTCTCTTTATCCTCAGTGAGAAGGGAAGGTGGGGGACACTTTAGTAGCAGGGAGGTATTATCTGACCTATGAATTAGCTTTCACTGCCTGTTCGCATCGCCAAATTGTCTTACCACTTGGATGAGAGGAGGCAAGGGTTATTACATTAGCTGAGATGGAAATACCCTGGAGAGAGGTTTGAGGGAGTGGTCAGGAGCTCAGTCTTGGACATGTTAAGTTTATGATGCCTATTAGATATCTGAATATAGGTGTTCAGTAGGCATTCTGATAATGATTATGGGTCCTTTTATGTTAAAAAATGAAGAATGGTATTAAAACAGTATATTTGCTATTTTGAAATATGTTACGTTGCATTATCTTAATTTTTAACATGTTCAATCCTGACAACTGGAGTGTTTTGGAGATAACTGATTTGTTCTTGGCTTTGTTGCTAGAGTTGATGGTACTTTCTTAGAGTTACACAGAGATGTCATTCCGCTTTAGAAGTGGAAGTATAATGATGTAGTCTGAGTATTTTTACTTGCTTTCTATTTTAGGTTCTATTACTACTGGATTTTCAAGAATTTTTAATACAATTTTTTCTTTGAATTATGATTTAAATATCAAAAATCTTTAAATTTTTTTAAAAAAGGGAAATATTTTAGTTTTGGAAGTCAGAATGCCAAGGAAAAGGAAAAATCTTGGGGGAAATCCTTTGCGGAAGACTGCAAACTCTAAGAAAATTGTCGTATCCCGTGTTGCTAGTCGTGAGGAGCCAGCCACTGCTCTTCCTCCCGTGTGTGAGACAAAGATGGATCAGGAGGAGCTCTTCACCAGTGTCTCAGAGATGTTCTCTGCTCTGGATCCTGATGTAGTTTATTTGATGCTTTCTGAATGTGATTTTAAAGGTGAGAAAAGTTTAGTTTGACTCTTTGCATCTTATAAGAAGACCTCATATTCTGCGCCACAGTGAATTCCAATGTAGAAAAATGATATTATTATTTTGTTTATCACATGTTAAGTATCTCCCAGTGCTGTTTGTATCACTAGGGATATGAAAGATAAAGATAGTTTCTACTATAAAGAAATGCATACTTGTAAGATTCATGAATATAAATATAGTCCAGACTTTATCTTCTCTATCTCCTCTAGACAAGTGCTATTGATATCTTTGAGTTGTTTTCCTAACTTGTTAATGAAAAATAATAGTATGTATCTTACAGGGTAGGACTTTTTTTTTGGGGAGGATTGAAAGTTTATTTTGTTGTTTGATTTTGGTAACAACTTCAGTGTAGTATGCTATAATAACCTCTAATAAATTGTTTAGAAGTATGTTTGCAGGCAAAAAAGAACTCTTAAGTTGCCTGGGTGGATTATCACCTGGTTAGTATAGTTTTTGGCTATAGTTATTATAAGATAAAATCCTTGTAGATTTGAGTGTCTTGATAATGCCGGATAAGCTTATGATTTCAGTCATTGTGTGAACTGTGTTGTGAGCATTTCTGTCCTGTCATGAGATATACCCAGGTTTAGTACTGCATCTGGTGCTCAGAAGCCATGGGAGTGACTTGTGCATAAAGCAGGGGGGAGTTATAACTATATCATCCTATGTCCTAACACCCTTATTTCTGTTTTTCAGGGTCCTCTGTATACCTTCTTTGTAGATACTTGATGTAACGAATAGTTCGAATGATAGCATTGATGGCACTAAAGCATGCATTCTGCTTTTAAAACTTAATACCATGAAGCTGTTGTCAGTGCTCTTACATACTTCTCTTTATAGCCAGCTGTCTGTTTCTCCTTGGTGCTTCCCTAGTGTTCCAGTGAGTTGTATTCTAATGTATTCATTTCTGTCTAAGTTTCTCATGGGTACAGAGAAAGAACATTTCAGTGAAAGTAGCCATTTTCTTCTGGCTTTTCTTCTTGGTCTGAAAGCATTGCTCCCTGCAGCACAGGTTAAGAATAGTTTTCCAGCCTTGAAAATATACTGCAGATTACCTACCAGGGAGGTATGCCAGTTTGTAATACCCACAGCCTCTCAGCATTGTGAATAATTATTTTAAGATTTTAATAGGAATAAATTGTGCCTCTTTTGTTGTTGTTGTTGTTTTTTTTGTTTTTGTTTTTTTCGAGACAGGGTTTCCCTATGTAGTCCTGGCTGTCCTGGAACTCACTCTGTAGATCAGGCTGGCCTTGAACTCAGAAATCCGCCTGCCTCTGCATCCCAAGTGCTAGGATTAAAGGTGTGCGCCACCACTGCCCGGCATGCCTCTTCTTTTTTTTTTTTTTTTTTAAAAAAAAAATTATTTATTTATTTTATTTATGAGCACACTGTAGCTGTCTTCAGACACACCAGAAGAGGGCATTGGATCCCATTACAGATGGTTGTAAGCCACCATGTGGTTGCTGGGAATTGAACTCAGGACTTCTGGAAGAGCAGTCAGTGCTCTTAACCGCTGAGCCATCTCTCCAGCCCCATGCCTCTTCTTTTTAAAATAGAGAATAATGTTGAATATTTTTATATTTTATTTTTCTTATATTTTATCAATTATTCATTTAGTCTTTAAGGTCATTTTTATGTCATAGTTTTAATTTTTTCCTACAATCTGTTTAAGACTTTCTTTTTATGATAATTACCTTTGTATTTTGGTATTTTTACTTATACTGTTTTTCATTTTTAATAGCTAGTTCTTTAGTTGATCACTTCAGATTTTTCTGCTCTGTAGTTTTTTTTTCCTTCTTCTGTTTGTGTTTTTCCTTCACTTTGTCTCAGTGTTTAGCTCTGCAGTTTTGCTCTGTTCTGACTGACCTCTCTGCCAGGCTTGCTCCTCCAACCCCTCTTTGTTTTCTCTTGAGGGACAGGTAACTGGGTCTTACTAGGTGCCAGTCCTTGTGCACGGCACTACTCATGGATTCTCTCACTTAACCCACAGCAGCCTCTGAGGTAGGTACTTTTAGTATCCCCGTATTACACACAAGAAGATCTGCTTAGGGAAGTGAGCTCACTTGTTTGAACCCTGTGAAGCAAGTAGATATTTACATGATGGTGTTTTGACTCCAGAACAGAGCTGTGTCCTATAGTACTATGCTTTTTTCCATATTTATCTTCCTTAAAACAAAAATAGTACGCAACAGAAACAAAATACCAAAAGGCGTCCACATTTCAAATGCTTAAAAATTACTTTCTTTTCTTGTGGTGCCTATTATCAAATCCATGGCCCTCAAGCATGCTAGCAAGGCCCCAGCCCCTGAGCAGTCCCAGACATGGAAAAATGCTTGAAGACCCAGTGGCTATTTGTGTTGCAATCAGCTCAGCACTGGAGTCAGACACACCAGCCCTGTTGCTGTGTGACTTGGGTCCCGTTCCTGCACCCTTTTTGAGCTTCATTTTCTATGTTTTCTAGGATAATCGTTCTCATAGTATTACTTGAGGATTCAGTGAGGTCATTTGTGTAATGCTCCTAGCCCCTTTACATTCCCTTAGAAAACAAAGGGTGACCTGTCGAACCCTCCCTGTTTCACCCAGTCTCCTCCAGTTATCTCTTCCTCCCATTCATCACACAGAACCTGTGAGCTAACTCTCCAACCAGCTTCTCTGAATACCCTTAAATAGGCTTTATCTTTCCTCTCCTCCCCTCCCCTCCTCTCCCCTCCCCTCCCCCTCTCTTTTTTTGAGACAGAATCTCACTGTGTACCTCTGGCTGTCCTGGATCTCACTGTGTAGACCAAACTGGCTTTGAACTCACAGAGATATACCTGCTTCTGCCTCCCATGTGTTGGGATTAAAGGCAGTTTTGTATTTTCAAGCTTGGCTTTAACTTTTGTCCTGTTGGCAACTTGATTTTCATCTTTTTAGTGACAGATGGTATATACATTGCTTTCTGTGAAATCCTTTCTTATTCTCCTTTCCATCACTGTAGCATTTGCACATTATTAAAAAGTACACATTGTTTAATTTATATTATGATGTAATTATATTTTAATGTACATGTCTTTATATTAGATTTAAACTCTACAAGATCTTTCATATCAAAAATTTGTCTTTATTTTTGTATGAAGTATTTCTGATGCATATATTTTTCATACTGTGAAATATGTAGTGTGGACTGGGTAAATGAGCACATGTACTGAGAGAATACCTACTTAAAATACTTAATCCTTAAAAGGACATCCAATAGATAAATAATTGTTGAATGTATCAACTGACTTTACAATCTTTACATATGACCCCAACATATATAGTCTATGTGTATACTCATTAAACTGTTAAATTTGTACTTACAGTAGTTTATTACAATTGAAAAGAACACCGTTCCATGGCTCTGTCGTTAATACTTCTCTAATTTAGATTTTGATGTATTAGGGTAGTGTTAGTTTTTAAAAGATGACCTGGGTACTGATACATTTTCAATGTATATCTATACGTTTGTTGTTACTTTTTTTGTTCTCATGCAGTTGAAAATGCCATGGATTGTCTGTTAGAATTATCTGCCACTGATGCCAAGATGGAACAATCATCTGCACAAACTTCTGTTGATCGTGAGAGCAAGCCAGGCACGTCAGGAAGTGCAGTAATGGAGACGTGCCATCCCGAAGGCGAGAGCGAAGATTCAAAACTGGATTCATTTTTGGATATGCAGCTAACTGAAGACTTGGATTCTTTAATACAGAACGCTTTTGAGAAATTGAACTCTCCTCCTGATGACCAAGTATACCCATTCTCTCCTCTGCAAGATGCTAATAGTTTTAATGACCCTTCAACCTTTATGAATTCAGATTCAAGTGGTATGACTTCTCTTCTTTCTGTACAAAATACGGGCTCAAACAGCGAAATTCTCAAGAATTCTGCTTCTTTACTAGGTTCAAACCCGCTGACTTCACATTCAGTTTCGAATGAGCCTGAAAGTTGTACACAGAGTGGCACCTTGGCATTGGAAGGGGGCTACCCAGAAGGCTCTCCTCTCAGTAGCTCTGGAAATCCAACAAATGACTCTGTTATGGGTTGTGGCAATTTTAGCCAAAGACAAAAAGATCGTTTCGAATCTGAGTGTCCTCGTGTGCAGCATTCCCAAGCCCTTGTAGATTTGGGCAACAGTGACCCTCAGGTTCCTTCGAATGGCCCCCTGCACAATTCAGGGTCAGATGTACCAGGTACAGATGGAGATCAGAAGTCTGTTTCTGTGCCTGATGTTTTTGTGCCCTCTGAAGGGTTCAGTTTCAAGCCGCAGCACAAACATCCTGAACTGCCACCAAAGGGGAAGGATATGAATTACTGCCCGGTGCTCACCCCTCTCCCTTTACTCCTTCCACCCCCGCCCCCACCCCCTATCTGGAACCCGATGATCCCTGCATTTGATCTCTTTCAAGGGAACCATGGCTTTGTAGCCCCTGTTGTGACCACAGCTGCACACTGGAGACCTGTCAACTACACCTTCCCACCCCCCATCATCTCCCACAACTCTCCGACTAAAGTGTGGAGAGGCAGCGAGGGAGCAAGTGCTTACCAGGTGCAGGAGGCCCCTGTGTCGCAGCCTGCGAGGAAGAAGACCACCTCCTTCGTCGGCTTAGTCCTCGTCCTTCTCAGAGGGCTGCCAGGCTCAGGGAAATCCTTTCTGGCAAGGTAGGAAGTTTTATTGACATTTGTTAGAAAGTATAAAAGTGCATGGATTTGTACAGTTCATGAGAATACCCAGAACACATGGGTATGGGTAATAACTACTTAACACATGGTTAATAACGTTTTTTTTTTTTTTTTTTGCGATCTTTTAAAAGATAATAATCATCACTAAGTTTTTATTGAATTCTTTTTTCTCATGCAGCTTTCTTTTTAAAGATTTATTTTATTTATTTTATGTATATGAGTACACTGTAGTTGTCTTCAGACACACCAGAAGCAGGCATCAGATCCCATTACAGATGGTTGTGAGCCACCATGTGGTTGCTGGGAATTGAACTCAGGACCTCTGGAAGAGCAGTCAGTGCTCTTAACCGCTGAGCCATCTCTCCAGCCTTCTCATACAGTTTGACAGACAGAAGTTAAAAATATTATATATATACATACATACATACATATACATATATATATATAGTTTCAGGATACTGAGACTGTGAAATACTTTCTGTGGATGAAAGCTAATTTGATTAGGAGAAAGATGAAGTTAACTTTGTTTGTGGACTGTAAAAACCAGACTTGAAAATAAGAAAAATCAGAACAGAAGATCCACAGTTGATTTTGAGTTCAGGAAGAGAAAATGGTGAATACATGACTTCTGATGACTAGAAGTTGAGGATTATAGCATGTTGTTAAATAGTGCTTTTTAGAAACATGATTTTAAACTGGGCATGGTGGTACACACCTTTAATACCAGCACTGGGAAGACAGAAGGCAGATCCTTGGATTCAAGGACAGAACAAGTTCTAGGACAGCCAGGACTACACAGGGAAGCCCTGTCTCAAACCACAGAAAACAAATGAACAAAAGAAACATAATTATAAGGAAGAGAGATGAATAGTAGTAATTATAGAACTAACGACTTCAAGCCATTTATTTAGTTTTGATGTTTTGAGACAGAGTCTAACTGCATAGCCTGGCAATCCTGGACCTTAATATTTAGACCAGGCTAGCCATTCTCTTTGCCTGAAGAGTGCTGGGATTAAAGGTGTATGTTACTACTCATGGCCCAAAACTTTATTTTCTTTCATGCCAAGTCAGAATCATGGTTAGAATACTCTGCAGTGATGGCTTCAGGGCTGTTCTTCAAGAGGATTTGCTTCCTTAGTTTCTCTATTTATTTGCTTTTTTCCTCCTTAACTTGAAATTATTTTTGTAGCCAATAGGCTGGTGCTCTCACTCTTGTGCTGTCGCTCTCTCTGTCTCTCTCTGTCTCTCTCTGTCTCTCTCTGTCTCTCTCTGTCTCTCTCTGTCTCTCTCCGTCTCTCTGTCTCTGTCTCTCTCTCTCTCTCTGTGTGTGTGTGTGTTTTGAGACAAGATCTTGTATCCCAGTCTGTTCTCATACTCACTGTGTAGCCAGGTTCATGCATTTTCTTTAACTCCTGCCTCTAAACCCCCAAGTGCTGGGGTTACAAGTGTGTGCCATCATAGCTGATTTATTTGGTAATAGTGATCAAGCCCTGGACTCTGTGCATGGTAGAAACATATTCTACCAATTGAACTATATCCCTAGACCCAGCAGTAGCAGTATAGTCATTTAAGTTATGCAGTTGTGTTTGTAAAATTAGTGAGAATGACAGGAGTACTTAAAAGGTAATAGATGTGTAGGACTAGGTTTTGGGGCCTTAGAGCCAAAGTCAAATGCATTTCTTGCCACAAAATAGGAGCTATGTTTTTGATAGAAATATGAGATTATATAGACATGAGTTGAGTATGGTCCGTAACATTAAATTAGCATGTGACATGAGTGAAGATCTGATGTAAGAACAAGGTTTTTGGGTTTATTGGAAAGCTCATGGATGGATAGTTTTTTAAAAAACGTCAGTTTGTAGTCTTCTGCCCCAGCTTCCACTGGGATTGCTGGTCGGCCGCTGTACCCACGAGGCATTTTTACACGAGTCCTGGAGATTCTCCACGCTTACGTGACAAGTGCTTAGCTATCCTTGTGCATTACCGTCTCCCTGGCTGTGATTATAGTCCTATCTAAAGATAGCTCAGATAGATGCACATTTAAAAGGAAACAAGCACCAGGCATGGCAGGCATGCCTGTAGTCTCAGCCCGTGGGATGTGAAGGTGGAAAGATCAGGAGTTGAAGGTCATCCTGGGTTAGACAGTAATTTGAAGCCAGCTTGGGCTGTATGAGACTGTTTCATAAGACAAAGCAAAACTATTTCTGAGTTATTTATTTATTTGTTTATTTTTTGTTTTGTTTTTGGTTTTGGTTTTTTTTGGCTTTTTCGAGACAGGGTTTCTCTGTGTAGCCCTGGCTGCCCTGGAACTTACTCTGTAGACCAGGCTAGCCTCGAACTCTCGACCTCAGAAATCCACCTGCCTCCTGCCTCTGCCTCCCAAGTGCTGGGATCAAAGGTGTGCGCCACCACTGCCCGCCTTCTGAATAATTTATATAAAACAAAATAGATCTGTCTTAGATTAGTTCTTTTGAGGAGTTGAACTTTTTGCTTAGAGAATTTCCAGTGTAATTTGTTTGAATTTTATGGCTTCTTTAAATACTATTACTTGAATTTTTATTTGGATTATGACTACAAAAGGAGAGAATTTAGGTAAGAAAATTAATGAAAATAATTCCTTTTGTCATTCATAGGACTTTGCAAGAGGATAACCCAGGTGGCGTCATTCTCAGCACTGATGATTATTTTTATATAAACGGACAGTACCAGTTTGATGTAAAGTACTTAGGGGAAGCCCACGAGTGGAACCAGAACCGAGGTGAGAACGGCTGTGGGGTCTGTGTGATGTCATCACTGGTCTAAAGAGGAAAGTTTTTGTGTATTTTGAGAGATAGAGAACTTTGTTTACTTATGTTTTGTGATACTTAAACATGCCACACAGATGTGCTGCCGCTGAGCTATGACTGGCCCCAGTCTTAAAGAATTATCCTAAATAATCCCAGCAAGCCAGGAGGCAGAGACAGGTGGAGTGAGCCTGGTCAACCTGATCTACAGAGTGAGTCCCAGGACAGCCAGGGCTACATAGTGAGACCCTAGCTCCAAAAAAAGAGATAAAACCATGATTTAGACCTCATACTCCCTAGCTTTTAACGTGTGTGTGTGTGCACGCACAGAAACAGAGACTAAATCTTTTCTATTAGTGTCTTAGTAACTAAAGAAAGTTACAGTTGTCTGGTGAGCTCTAGTTTTTTTTTCTTTCTTCCCTTCCCCTCCTCTCCTTTCCCCTTTCCTGCCCCTTCTTTCCCCTTTCCTGCCCCTTCCATACTCTTCTTCCCTTCCCTCCTCTATCAGGTATCCTTTCCTCTCCTCCCCTCCCATCCCATCCTAAAAGGCCTTTGTTTTAAGCTGCCAGGCTTTTGTCTTAAGGCAGGAGGGTAAAGAAAGAAGCTGGCCATCTTGGAAATTTGCCACCTTTATTTACCTAGCATGGCCCCCTCTGTCTTATCAGCCTGCCAGGGAGTCTAACTTTTTTTTACAACCATGCTTGCCCTGTATTTAATGTTATTAAAATTATGTCCTTTTGTATTGTGTTTTTCAGCAAAAGAAGCATTTGAGAAGAAGGTTTCTCCAGTAATCATAGATAATACAAACCTCCAAGCGTGGGAAATGAAGCCATATGTTGCTTTGGTTTGTACCATAAGTTTGTAATACTGAGTTTGAAGTCATTGAGGGGATGTGTATCTCACAAGTGAATCTTAACACTTGAGGTTATCTTGCTTTGCCTTGAACTGCATTTTCTCTGGTCTTCAGTGAAATGAGGAGAGTAAGACAACATGGCTGAGCTTTTCCCTAAAGCTAAGTTTACTCAGCTGTAAAATGAGCATGTTTTAATGTCACCTTCCTTTCCCCTCCCCTTCCCTCCCCTCCCCTCCCCCCCTCCCCCCCCCCCTTCCCCTCCTCTCCAGTACTCTTCTGTCCCCTCCTCTTTTCTTTCTTCTTTAATTAAAAATGAGTTTTGGTTCCCAGGTTGTATCAATAAGGCTGTTGGGTTATCTTTTGCCTTAAGCCAGGTATCTACGCTTGAGTGCAGGACTCTTGTTTCATCTTCCATTGAATCTTCTGGGTGTATCCGTGTGCTTGGTGTAAAATAACTTTGTGTGTGTGTGTGTGTGTGTGTGTGTGTGTGTGTGTGTGTGGTGTCTTCTATTACTAGCATGTGCTGTGTACATGGAAGCAGAATTTGCTTCATTAGTTGAATGCATATCAGATTCTTTATGTCAACACACCTTTAATTTCAGAGCTAGGGAGGCAGAGGCAGGTTGATCATTGTGAATTCAGAGCTATAGGTTGTTCCAGGAGAGCCAGGGCTACATAGACAGAGATCTAGTTCAACCCTTCCCCCTCAAATGCATTTTACTACAGAAGCAATAGATTTTATTATACTTCATTGGAATCTGGAATATGCTTTGCTTTTCAGCCATCAACTGAAATACTCAGCACTGGAGTAGGCTATCTGGGTCCTGTAAGACTGCTCTGTACGTCTTCACATGTTTTTCTTGTTCTCTTAGAGGTTTTTGTGATGTTGTCTTTTCTTTTTTCATGTGCGTGTAGCATGTGCGTGTGCGTGTGCTTGCATAAGTTCATGTGCGTCATCTGCATGCAGCAGCCACAGAGGCTGGAAGTGGGTATTGAATCATGGCACTGGAGTTGGAAGTGGTTGTGAGCTGCCCTGTGGGTATTGAACTGAACCCAAGTCCTCTGCAAGACAGCCAGTCTCTTAACTGCTAAGCCTTCTCCACTTTCCTAAGTAGAAAATAAAGTGTTCCAATTGTTTTGTTTCTGATGTTCCAACTCTTTTGTAGTCTGTAATTTTTTCTTTCTTTTTTTTCAAAGTTAGGATATCACTTCATAACCCAGGCTGGCCTTGAACTAGTGATCTGTTTTGTCTGTTTTAGCCTCTTGAGTGCTGGTATCACAGAATACTCTGCTATATCCACTTTTCTCTTTTCCTTACATGATTGAAAATATAAAGCTACTTTTCCAGTATTGATTTCTTGGCTCTTCCTAACTTTACTCAGAAATATATAGGAGATTCCTGTTTCTCAGTGTGTCAGACTCATTGTTTCTTCACACAGAGTTGGATAAAAGGAGATGAGGCGAGGTCAGAAGTGTTAAGTTAGATCAAAGACCAAGTCTCAGGCACTGCAATTTGAGCAGAGGTGTGGAAGAAAAGGAAGGAAGGTCTAGCTAGCATTGCAAAACAAAAAAGGGAAAACCGACCTGCGGAGGCCGAGACCGCCTGTCTGCTGGATGGGAGCAAAGGCAAGCATGCAGAATGGAGAAAGTAGGGGAGAGGGGTCAGGGCTGTGTCAGGCTGTGAGGAGTGGTGCCTCCTGAGGGCTCACGTACCACCACCTACTTGGGACTTTTTTTTTTAAACAAAGGAGAGCTGGCAAGTAGCTGATGTATGGAAAGTAGAATACAGTGGGACAAATAAGTGTATGGTATTACATATTATGGAATTAATTGAAGAGAAAGATCATGGTGCCTCAGACAGGATTCCTGAGGAAGGAGGAGTGTAAAAGATGGCTGGAGTAGTCACATTAGAGCCCTGACATGGACTGAGCAGTTGTTGGCAGCAGGTTTTAAATGATACTGATATTGAATGAAGAGGAGGACTTGACTGCTCCCAGGTGTGATTGAGGAGATGGTTTTGTTGTAGATATGAGGGAGAGAGAAGCCAGACCCAGGAAGTTTAGCTCTGACCCCTCTAGGTTGAGTTTTCTGGCTTTATTCCTTGTTTTGTGTTTGTGTTCTCCGATGCTCAGACCTCAGTGTGTCCTGCTCTTTCTTAGATTAGAATCTCCTGCCTTACAAATGAACGTGACCCTTTTCTCAACTTGGGTGTTTGTCACAAGAGACAGAACCTCTCAGTAAGACCCAGGTTTTTCTACAAAGTAAGTTCAAGGCCAATCTAGGCTACTTGAGATTTTATCTCAAACAAACAGCAGCAGCAGCAGCAGCAGCAGCCGCCGCCACCTTGCAGTAACACTTGCTATTTCTTTAAAAGAGAGCTGAGAGCAGAGGCTGGATCAGTTCAGCCTGCTGACCAGATCGCCTGTGAGGCTGTTTCATTTTTAATGTGATAGTCTATAAAATTGCATTTAATTGTGTGGAAAATCATTTACATTTATTTTTTCTTTTCTGTAGTCTCAAAAGCATAAATATAAGGTCCTTTTCCGGGAACCAGACACATGGTGGAAGTTCAAGCCGAAGGAACTTGCAAGGTAAAGCCTGGAGATTTTCTGAGCTGGCTTTTTGCTCTACAGCAGTGATCCAAAGTTTAGCCAGATTTTTTTCTTTTATAAATGATGAATGAAACCTGATTTTGGCTTATACACTTAAAAGTTGATAACATTATGTACTGGGAATGTGACAGTTTTAAATAATTATTTTTAAAATGCTTACTTATCATGCGTGTGTGCTTATGTGCATATGAACGTGTGCACCCACCCATTCTTGCTTAGTGTGTGTGTGTATTGGGGGCTTGTGAGAGTACAGAGGCAGAGTCACTTGTAGCCAGGCTTTGAGGACTTGAGTTTAATCCCCAGGGTTCACATGGTCCACATGCATGCTGTGGCATGTACGCACTCATACAACACACACATGCATACAGAACCTCACCCTGCAGTGGTTATGTTGTATTAATATGCTCTCTAACAATACTTAGCAGTTCTGCTGTCCAGTGTGTTCTGTAGCTTCCTGTGCTTGCTTTTCTTTTGGTTGGGTTAATTTTTGGACATGGATGGTGAACTCTTCCAATGTGAAACAGTGTGCGAATCTCTCTGCTATAAAACCCGTCCGTCTGTCATCCCACTGGTGTCTACTTTATATATTTGGAGGGTAGTTATTGAAATTCCTAAGAGCGTATCTTTTTTTTTTTTTTTTTGACGTTACCCTAATTAACTGGACTTTATCCCTTCCCAGTGATTTTTCTTTTGTCTTTAAGAATAGCTCTTGCTAGAAGGTCTGGTCTGTTTAATTAATAGAACTGTGCCAGCATCCTTTTAGTTAATATTTTTATTGAGAGTTTTTCCTCTTTTCATACTTTTACTGTCAACCTTTTAATATTTATTGTGCCTAGTATGGCTTGTTTCTCTTCTCTCCCCTCCCTCCCTCCCTCCCTCCCCCCCTCCTCCTCTCTTCTTTGTGTATGTGTGTGTGTTTGTGTGTTAGGGGACAGAAGTTTGGAAGGGGGGTCTCCTGTAGCCCAGGCTAGCCTTGAACTCCTGATCCTCCTGCCTCTACTCTCAGGTGTTAGGATATCAGGCAAATACCATAGTTCTCTGTCCCATCTTGGCTCCGATACTGAGTCTGCTCTCTTAGGGGTGTTTTGCTGTTGACACAGCTGGCCGCTTTCTCAGTGTGCATTGTGCTTGATGCTCATTTTTCCTCTTTATGATCAGTGCTTTGTTTGTTTCTGTTTTTTTGAGATGAGGTCTCACTTTGTAGCCTTGGCTGACCTGGAACTCACTATGTAGACCAGGCTGCCCTCAAACTCACAGAGATCCGCCTGCCTCTGCCTACCAAGTGATGGGTGGGATTAAGGTCATGTGCCACCAGGCCTGACTTCTATGATTGTTGTTACTAGAAAAAAAAATCTATATGAAGTTTTTCTCTCATCATATTTTAGAAAATTTAGGTGAAATTTAAGTCTGTTTTCTAATTTCTAAATTATACGTGGCTTGTTTATGTTTTTTAGTGTCCACTTTCCATGTTTCACTATGCAAAGCTTAACACTAAAGTAAAACCATTTTCTTTGCCTTCCTACTCACCAATACAAAGACTTTACTACACTCACTTGTGATGTAGTTCTCATGAGTGTGCATGGCATCACTCTGTGATTTACACACAGCTGTTTGAGTAGCTCAGGGTTTCCTTTGTGCTCTGCTTCCCCCGGCAGCATAGACCTTTCTTTAATCTGAGGGTCTGTCTGCCTATTTACTTTTAAACTTTTCTTTACAGTAAGTCTGTTTATGTGAAACTATTTCTTTTTAAGTTTTCCTTTGAAAAATATTTTTAACATCTTCATTCTTAAAAGACACTGTATATATTCTGGGCTGTCAGCTAGTTTCTGTTGCTGAAAGTAACTTGTTTTATTTTTATTACTGTTGCTAAGTCTTCCCATTCTAATTATTTGTTTCTATATGACTAGCCATATTTTTAAATTTCTAGCTTAATGACATCTTCCTTTTCTTTGAGTGACAATTTTAGCGTGTGTTTCTCGTTATGGATTTCTTACCCTGTTACCCTGTTACCCTGTTTGACTCCTGAAATCAGGCCATGGATGTCATTCATCAGTTTTAGAACAGTCTTAGCATTTATCTTTAAACTGCTTTTGTCCCATTTCTCTCTTCTCTTCTTCAGACTTGAATCAGTGGTATACTAGACCTTTTTTTGCTTTGGCCTCTATGTCTATGTTTCTTAACCTCTCTCATATTTTCTATCTCTTTGCTTCTCTGTGATATGAAACCAGACAAGATCGAGGTAGGTAAATATGAAAGCCATATTTACCCAAGAGGCAAACATTAATGTTAGCCCTGGAATTCAGATATAAAGCCTTGAATCCAGACTAAGTTAAGAGAGTTACAACTGAGATGCTTTCATTAAGAAACAAACGCAAGGGGATTAAAAAGCATATTATCCTACTTCCTGGCAGTGCAGATTCAGAAGGCACCCTCAGTCTGAGAACTAACGATTTCCATGTAGAGTTAACTAACTGCAAGTTCATTAGCAAAACCACAGCTGAGTGAGCAAGACTGGAGATGCAGATAATACACTTCATATTTGGACGTCCAGAGACTTAATATGCTAGGAATTCAAAAATAGTGTTTGAACCTAAAGTGCAATAAAATGTGTTTGTTTTAATTTAGTTGGGATCTGGTTTTATTATAACAGGAAGGCACTTTGGGATATTTACTCAGCGTCTCTATAGTGGGATACTGCTCACAGTTAATACTTAATTAAACCTTTAAATGACAATCATTGTTATATGAAATTTTTTTTCCAGAGTTTTAGAACAACTTCTAAGGTCATTGAAATCTTTCTCCTGAATTAATAAGGGATATCTGGAAAAAAAGCTGTATAGTATAATTAATAGAATGACAGTTTAAAAGAGTCTGACTAGGTTGGGTGTGGTGGTGTAATCCCAACACTCAAAAATCTGAGGCAGGAGGATCCCAAGTTTCAGGTCAGCAGCCTAGGCTTCATAGTAAGACCACATCTTAAAACAAATGAAAACAAACCTTCCAAAACAGAATGGAGATGGAAATGGAATTAGGACTAGCCAGCACGCATTATGTAAAGGCAAGGCCTTCAGTTCTCCTGTCTCCCATGAGGACTGCCATTGATGGTGTTAGGGGTATAGCTCCGTGGTAACGGTTTACGTTGTATGCACACGGCCCTGAGTTCAGTCCTAGCACTGAAGAACAGGACTTTTGGACTTTGTATGTTCTTTTTTTTTTTTTTTCTTTTTGGTTGTCAACCTTCTTCCCACCTTTCTCTTCCCTGGACTTTTCAGACGTAATATTCATGGAGTAAGCAAAGAGAAGATAACACGAATGTTGGAGCACTATCAGCGCTTCGTTTCCGTGCCAATAATCATGAGTTCTTCAGATCCAGAGAAAACCGAGCGGATTGAGTTGTGTGCATACGCTGGTGAGGACAGAAATCCTAGGTGCGTTAAGTTACATGCAAACGACGCAGTGTGGGGCTAAGGTTTCTTTCTTCTTCTTCTTCTTTTTTTTTTTTTTGTTTTTTTTTTTGGTTTTTCAAGACAGGGTTTCTCTGTGTAGCCCTGGCTGTCCTGGAACTCACTCTGTAGACCAGGCTGGCCTCGAACTCAGAAATCCGCCTGCCTCTGCCTCCCAAGTGCTGGGATTAAAGGTGTGCACCACCACCACCCAGCCTAAGGTTTCTTTTTTAATGATAGCTTTGAAGACTTGAAATCACAGCTGATAAACTAAAAGTAAAGAGATTTTGTTTTCTATTTAAACCCAGCCTAAAGTTTCTTTTTTAATGATAGCTTTGAAGACTTGAAATCACGGCTGATA